GCAGTCAAAACCCCAATATACAAATAATTTGTTGTAACCTTGCAGTCTAATCAATCATGTATTTAAAGTGATATTAAATATTAAAGACATAGGAAAGTGTTGGTGTTTTTAATGTTTTAACACTGGTAACTGTCTTTTCTGGTGAAGAGGAAGCAGGTTTGACTAGATAACAGGATACCTCCTGCAACTCTCATAAATTCCTCGTCCTCACAAAACAAGCTATCTCCCCATCTCGAGGTCCACAAAACTTTAGGTAAAGAATATAAAATATGTTTAATCCTAACTGCAAACAATACATCTCTTGAGATATTGTTGTCATAACAACAAGCACTGACCAGTAAATGCAACTTCCTGTTGTTTCCATGCATGTATCTACTTTGAGCAGCTGACCACTGTACGAAGGGAAAAACCCTTGAACCATTGATGTCACTTGATTATAACCTTTATGTTGATTCTTTATGAGTACGGTTTCTACAACATCTAGGTAAACAAAGGCATTAGTTTCCCATTGGTGTAACTTCCAGCCAACACTGACAATAATGTTGTACAATGGAATAATACTCAGAGTGAGTGAGTATGGTTCTACGCTGCTTTTTAGAAATATTCCAGCAATATCACAGCGGGGGACACCAGAAATGGGCTTCACACATTGTACCCATGTGGGGAATCAAACCCGGTCTTTGGCATGATAAGCGAACGCTTTAACCACTAGGCTACTCCATCGCCCCAATAATACTCAGAAGATACTAAGCCAGTATTATTCAACTTTCGGTTTTCATCTATCTGTCTCCCTCTAAAACATTACTTTCATTTTATTCATGAATATGTTTTTAATTTTAATAAGGTGAGAACTTTGAATTTCACAGCTTGTTTACAACTTTCTTTGTTGTTTAAACAATCCCTCATCAAATTTCCAGCGGTTAGTAAATAATCAAGTCTGGACAACAATCCAGGGACTGACATCATGAGCTGCGATGTACATAATTGGGATACGATGGCATATGTTATAACTTTGTTTACAAATGTATAAACAACTTTTGATCAAATTTCGAAAAGGGTTGAAGGTATATATCATAATAAAAATGAGATACAACACTTTTCAATGCGTTTGTCGGGACAGGATGGCTGATAGTCTAGCGATTAATGTTTACAAGCCTTACACAAAAATGACATCTAGTAGCAGTAATACATACTAACGTAAGCACTTGCAACAAATCATGAACTGTACACATCACATGACGACGAAGGATCACAATGCTCATACATATAAGCAGCAAATGTCATCCACTTTAGACAAACACATGTGGAATAAATGACATGCAAGATTAGATGTTAACATGGTTAAGGCTGCAACGGTTTTCTCAAAAAGCAGAACCGGTTAACTGTAAAATGAAAACAGATTCACCTGACAGTTTCACATTCCAGCATTTTGAAAATTTCACGTGCAAGCTGAAGGTTACAGTAAGTTGTTGTTATTGATATTCTTGTTCATTACAACTGTCAATTAATACCAAAGACACTTGACAAAGAACTTGTCAAAGAAGTTGGGTAGGCTCAATTTTGAAAATAATACATAAATACATCAACTAATTTTCAACCTAAAATATCATACAACCATATGTAACAAAACCAGTGATAACCAATGGCACTATAGTATTCAAGACATTTATCACATGTCAAGAAAACCAGCATACCAATGGTACTGAAGTATTTAAGACATTCATCACATATCAAGAAAACTAAATTATTTAAGAAACAAAATATTTTATCATTTACCCATGTAGCTATGTATTGGCCAAGGGCATACTGACTGCAGCAAGTGCTATTTGCAGGGTCCTTTGTATTTGTACCTACAATGCTACTGGATCACACCTTATGGAATCTGAGAATATCACAGTTAACCAGTTCTTAAAATGAAGCCAGTTTTGGTGCATAACCTCACCCTGATGGGTTTACCAGTAAACCATTGCTGCCTTAGTAGATGTCGTATCGTCTTGACAGTATGTTCTCTTATTGTAACCAATGTTTCAAGATAAAATCTTCAATATCATCAAACATAATCTCTCAAACAATAATCGCTGTACAATAGATTTTAAATACTATTTACAGGATGATAAATATTGTGAATAAAACAGGCATTAACAATAAATAGAATCACCAATATATGACCATACAAAGTTAAAATGTACAAGGTAAATAGCAAGGTGGGGTTCATTCATGCTGCCTGACAAGGATCAGTGATTGAGTGCATGTACGCTGTTTATTTTGTTTTTCCATCATAACGGTGCTATTCGTGTTCTAATCGTGTTAAACGTGTAAAGGAACAACATGTGGGACCTGTGAAGCACAGGGAACCGATGATACAAGGGACCAGTCATTTATTGACTATACAAGGGACCAGTCATTACAAAAATGTAACAACTAATGAGGGACCAGTCATTAACACAGGGTTACCATAAAGTGAAATCATTTATCAAGAGAGCTCAACATAATTTGTTGTCTAACAAGACAACATTCCTGATGGATTTTCCCTCTTGTATAAATATTTTTGGATCATAAACAGCTTTGGATTTGTCTTGCATTCCTTCCCAAAGTTAGTACTTGTATGACCTTCACCTACTTCTCTGTGCAACACTTTACAGCAATACTCCAAGAGACTTTCAAATCATGATGGGTTAGAACAAAGTTGGACTTAATATATTTTTAATCTTAATTATACTTAATCTGAAAATCCTGTTGATAACCATGAACCAACTGAATATAATTTTTACTCCAGATCGGCCAATAGTATCACTAGCCACTTTACAAGGCATAGAAAAACACAATCTTAATTGTGTTCAATGTAGCATATAGGGGTGACTTGTCTGTTAATACAAAATACTTCAGGAACGAAACTCTAAACAAATTGCTAACCAATTTTTAATTTCAAGGTGCTGTATCAGAAAGTAATCTTTAAAACTAAATCTGAGTTTTCAGAGTAGAAATTTAAAAATATTCAAGCGAAATTTCAAAAGGTTATCAGCAAAAAATAGATTCATCACAAGTGACCCAAGAATATACCTGTCATAGACATTAAAGTTCAGTAGTTGTAGTAAAGACTCCTTCGCACAACTTGAGTGTATAATGAAAACACACCAGTTCAAAAACCTGACCTTGCCCTATAAAACTGTAAGATTTTATTAAGAAAAAACAGTTAAATGAGTGTTTTTACCCTGTTTAAAATTTCACATTAGATGTGAATTTTTTTTACTTTTACTTACAATTGTGCAAAAGCACTCTTTATGTCAATAAGCCAATCACTGACAAATGTGAAATGTTTATAGCTTAAAATGCCACCATGTAGTGCATAGACACAGCTGAATGACCCCCACCTTATTTGGATGAGTACATGACGGAAACATACATAACAAACCCTGAGAGACACTGCACCCAATGTTGGGGATGGTTTCATACTTTCATAAGTCATTTTCCATCTTCATTTCAACAGCAACAAATCTCAAATGAGTGCAAAATGGGTGGCTCTTTCAGAAAAGTATAGATGTAAAGTTTCTCACCTACACAATTGTACCATATTTAAATCAAAAGAAAATTCTTGAGATGACCCCTCAATGACTTCATATTAAAAGCACAACATAGAAACATGAGGAGGGAAACTGCAATCTCAAATTAAAGGGATTATTCAAATCATACATAGTGGTTATTTGATTTACGTCAGTATTGTATAAGAAATGATATTAACAGAGACTAGCAGTTAACCATTACATCAGTACTGGTTACCTTAAAATTCAGATCTAAAAACACCATATTTCATCCAGTCTTACATCCAATCAGCAACTGAGTTAGTGCTGCCCTTTAATAGATTTTAAACAGTATTTTAAATTACGAATAGATTATAAACCTATCACTTTTATCAGATTTTATCATGCAATCCTAAAAAAACACAAAGGAATTTAACTTCTCCTGTTACCTCTGGAAGTTATCTCCCTTGAATATGGGGAATGACCTTGAGAATGTGACATTATGAATGCTGAAAATGGCAGCTGTTATGATACACATAATATCATAAAAATGAAATCACCAAGGAACATATCAGGTTTGTTTTGGCCACAGTTTGTGTTGGTGTGCTAGATTAACTACAAATGTTGCTGGAACAGATTATTTCCTCAAAACAGATATTCATGACACAGACTACAGGTTGATAAATGGGGACATGGAATACTCATTTTAATTCTGCTGCCATGAGCCAACTTTTTTATTATCACCATGTCGTTTTTCACAGCTACTGTTGAATAAAACAAAGAGGAGAAATTCAAAGATTATTTCAATAAAATAACGATCTACTACAAAAATATGTTTGAGAAACTGACACTACTGTCAATACTGCCATTTAAAGCAAGATATTGCAAGGGTAATTTCACCTTTGCACACAGCCACAACTTAGCAAACATCAGCAATTGTCTTATTGCACTAACAGAACTTCACCAAGCTCAACAGAACTTCAGACAGATCAACAGAACTTCACAGAGCTCAACAGAACTGCACAGAGCTCAACAGAACTGCACAGAATGTTTTTGCTGTCAAGATGGTGATCTTCAACATTGATTCTTGAACACACAACAAATCTCAGTGACAGAGAATCGATATTAGCTGTGACATAGTCAAACATGGAAAGGATGTGGCTGTAACAAGTCAATTCTGATGCTTGACAGTGACACCATGAAAACGCAACTGTTTCCCTCTATATTTCACAGGTGGATTCAGAGTTGGGATCCAGAGTTTGGTGACAAGGATGCTCAACCCCGCTGTGGCAGACATCTCATGTGTCCCTCTAATACGATGTTGTTAACTTTGTGACTTACATTGTGATTATACTCTTTCCTTTATTCTTTGACATGTCTCTTTATTTATGCATTCATTAAAATTAGATTCAGATAGTGTACACAAAATCATAAAAGAGTCAGAAATGTTTACAATTTTTACAGCTGTTTCTGATATTCATGACTAGAGCTGTGGCGATATATCGTAGTATCCATAATCGTGATACTTTATCTAATGATATATATATATCAATACGTTTTTTTCATATCGTGATATGTACCGTTGACCTTCAAATTGTTAATTTTCATTAGATATTGACAGTTATGTCAAAATTTACACTGTCACTTGCTATTAAAATAAGATTTTTTAAAGAACATAACTAAAGATAGCATATCGTGACATGCATCGAATCGAATCGTATCGTTCCAAGATATCGCGATACATATCGTATCGTGAAATTTCTGTATCGTCACACCTCTATTCATGACAAAATGGTGATCATTTTGTTATCGAGAGCAGGCTATTGTGTGTAGACCATGGTTTTCAGTTGTATCACAGTGTATTGGCTTGATAAGGTAGGAGAACCAAAGTCAGTAAGATCGTAAATGTTCACCACCTTGATGAAACCCACAAACAGGGATAAGCTGCTGACAACATAGAAACATAATTAGGGTTTATCATTTTTTCAAACCCACGATATAGGATTCTGGCAAGCATCATCGGAGGAACTCTGCACAGCAAACTGCAGGTCCTCTGATGATAGTGCTCCTGAGACTAGCACCAACCAAACCCACCATTTCTCCTGGAATTGGTTACATTGCAATACATAGTTGCTCCACTAAATCCCACAAGGATGAACATCATACACAGTTTCTTTTAAACTGAAATAACAATCGCGTTTTCATAGGTTTTCACAATTCCAAGTGTCAAACATAACTGTTTAATTAAATCACAAATTTGGGATATAAAAAGCGGCAAAAGTATGAAACAGGATGTGTATCACCTGATTAACTTGACCTTCACATTGTGTCAGTAGTAAAATATTCTCTTGTGTAACGGACAGTCCACCGATGAGAGCAGGTAACGAAAATATACTACACGCTGCAATGACACCTGTCAATCTGGTTTCAGATGGGTGAAACAAAAATTCCAATATTTCTGTAAACCATGTTTTTCATAATGTTCACACAAGGCTCACAGATAGAGGAGAAGAGGTATCACGAAGGGTGGAAGTATCAGTGGGTTTGTTTGTCTATTGAGGATCTGGATGGAGGTGTATTCACAGCTATGTGTTGTGGGCTAAATGAAACTTGGCTCCTTGAACAGGGACATACACACTTGCATCAACCAATGACAAGGACACCATCAAACAAGGGAGGTTACTCTAAAGTGGTGTAATCTGATACAATCAGGGTTGATGTAGACAGACTATAATAGAAAAAATGGTGAAAATGATACATATGTGTAAAACTGTTTCACGTTTATACAATATTCTCCATCAAAAAAGCTATTAAATGCAGTAATTCGAATCAATATTCGTGACATTAGATCTCTTTTGATTTTCTACTTCAACACATCAATTCATTGCATATAAACTGATGCATTAGACTATAATATTGTTTCAAAAATCCTTTGGCCTGATTTATGCATATAGAAGAGTTGTCTTCAGCTGTTTCCCTTGTAAATGACCTTGACCTAGACATGTTTGATGATCCTTGACCTTGGTTGCTGAGTGTGCACTGGTGACCATCAGCTGACATGACCTGCATTCTCTTGCTGTGATGACCCAAAGAGGAACCGGTTGATGATACTGCGAATGGCGTGGTACATGTGCTTCGGGAGAGCACATGGTTGCATCTTGGTCAGCATCTTCCCACAATGGCTGATGTAGTCAGTGAATTGAGTTAAGGTAATATATTAACACAATGAACTGGTCCATGAGTACTCAATATGTATACCGGTAAGAACAATTTAGAAGACATTAGTGGGTTAACAAGAGGAGGGGTTGAAAGTGTAAAGGTTCAGGTCAGGCTTTGTGTTTTTTAAAATCATAATCACAGGCAAAGTATTTGTGACATGGAATTCTTTCATTTTAAGCTAGTGATTTGGACCTCAGAAAGATTGAGTTAAAATGTCAAAGAAGTGCAACCGAGCAGTTGTATTTCAACCTGCACAAAATTTGCAAGAGGGATAAAATATTGGAGGAAAATGTTCACTTTAAAAGGAGAGACAACCAGATGCTTATAATTTATATTCAATACAGTCTTAAAAATTGGAGAAGACTGAAAAACACCTTTACATGCCACGCCTTGAGTACATTGACAGATGGAGAGCTATAGGTTTGCTTCAGCGTGGTACCTCGTAGCGGGACATTGCTCATCAATTCAATGTCCATAGCAACACCATCTGGTACTTATGGCTACGATTTTAGCCAACAATCAAGTTATAGACAATCCTCATAGTAGCTGCCCACCTGTAACAACTCCTCATCATGACTAACGGATTAGAACCACGCATCTCCCTCTGGTTGGTCAACGCTGCTAAATCTGCACATTCTTTATAAATTCTCGGGAATTTTTACTTTCATCGACTATTTGACTTGGACTGACTGACTGAGTTTGGTTTTACGCCGCTTTTAGCAATATTCCAGCAACATCAAAAATGGGCTTCACACATTGTACGGGGAACACCAGAAATGGGCTTAACACATTTGACTTGGAAGAAATGTAAGATTTTTTTCCAGCAATGGCTTCTCAAAAGAAAGCATCATTTGTAAATGTCTCTTTAACAAACATCTCAACCAACCAGATGGCTTGGTTCCACACACACACACACGCACATGCGCCGATACACGCACGCACGCACGCGCGCGCGCGCACGCGCGCACGCACGCACACACACACACACCGTTTTGTGTGGATATATCGTCAGCCATTTGTGTCAAGATCATTTAGTTGAGAGTCAAACTCGGGTTTCAATCGACTTGCAGAAATAAAAATAAACAATTGGTAGGTGTCATGAGTGGTGCTCCATAGGCCAATCATCTATGATTATGTTTACATTAAGTTTTAATCGATTGCATGCGGTGGTTGCGTAGCGATAGGCAAAGCAGTCGGGTGGGGTGCACCAAAGTGTCCGGCCTTGTCATAATGTTTTATACTGTGAAGCATTTCGAGTCGGGGGTCATCTCAAATTTTTGTATATATTTTATAAAATCTTTAATCTTCGCAAAGACACGAGGGCCTGTGGTTCCACCTAGCAACCCTTACAGCCCATACAATAACGGACAACAGATGTGTATCTGCAATGTGAAGTGAATATGGAGGATTTAAACAATGATAAGCAGACCATGGTAGCACTAAAAATGCTCAGTGGACAGCGCTCCAAGATTGCAAGGACATCACGATGGTGATATATAAAAGGATATACGATTGACCAAGGTGGCTGTCCTCCATTAACATAGAGAACGTATGAGAAGCCGTCTCTAGGTTTGCCCTGTATGGAGTAGTAGTACGGCAGGAAGCTGTGTGGCTTGAAGTTCCGATGTTCGTAGAAGCGCAGTGCCACCGAGTTGGTAGCCAGGACGTGTAGGTAGACAGCCTTACAGTCATAGCCCTCCTTGGAAGTGAGGAATGACAGCAGGCTATCCAAGAGAAGGGAGGCTGCAGAGAAAAGACGTCATATTACCACACAAAGTCAACACCACTTTCCTAAACATATATAATGAGCATAGCAGCGTGAGACATGATATATTGAGCATTGTTCTGTCCAAAGTACTAGGGTTTGTTAGACTGACTGACTGAGTTTGGTTTTACGCTTTTAGCAATATTCCAGCAACATCACGGCGAGGGACACCAAAAATGGGCTTCACACATTGTACTCATGTGGGGATTCGAACCCGGGTGTTCGGCGTCACGAGCCAACGCTTTAACCACTAGGCTACCCCACCGCCCCTAGGGTTTGTTAGACTCAGTATAAGCAGTGTAACGAATAATACTGAGCCTAAGTTTACTGACACTGATGATTTGTATGAAATCAGAGACGTAGAAAAGTGCAGTAAATCCAACAGGGCACACTGCACTTTCTTAGCTGATGCTTGATACGGAGTAGTAGCACACAGAAAAGACACTATTCAGCTAGGATATAGACAAGTGGATATAGTTCCAGCAACCAAGTACTCACCTATACCATTTCGCCTGAAATCTCCTACCACACCAAGACTGAGGATATAAGCCACCTGCACACTCGGCCCATAATAGGATGCCAGAATATCTGCATCCTGAACAAATCAAACAAATAGATTTCAATACTTTGTGTTCATTGGAATTCATCACATACACACAGTGTGCAATCTGTATTTTATGTTTATAACTCTGTAAATGCGACAATATTTCATGATTTATATCCAATCCAGATGTAGAAGTGTTATGGCAATTCTTGTAAATATATATGCCCTCCACAAACTTATTTAATCATTAACAGAAGCAGTTGTACAGATAACAGTAGGAAATCAGTGACAGTGTTCAGCACCCAACATGCAACAGAAAGCCCACCCATTCTATGATCAGGATTGAGGGAGAGAGTAAGGCTTTATTCTGCTTTTAGTAATATCACAGCAGGGACTCCAGAAATGGGTTTCTCACATTGTACCCATCTGGGGATTCGAACCTGTGTCTTTGGCATAACACTTTAACCACTAGGCTACCCACTGTCTGGATTTTGAGCGGAGTAATGTTGGCATTCCATGTTCCACTAAATGCCATATGGACCAGCACAGTTATTGGACATAGGGAAGTCCTACCTCCTTGTTGAGCTTGGACCTTGGTTTTATCTCTGCCACGATGAGTCCTATGATCCGGGCGCGGTGGGTGGCGGCCAGGGAGTAGAAGCGGGGATTGGATGTGATGTCATTGTACCATGTGTCAGGGTATCTGTAACATCACCAACATCCATCATGTTCTGTAAGTTCCACAGTTCTACGACATTTACGAAAACAAGTTTTAAACTTGTTCAGACACATTCAAGTCCTGCAAAACTAAAGAGGAAAAAGAAAGTTTTTGTTTGCTTGTTTGTTTGCACTAAGTGGCTGAAGTTGGTAGCAATGATTCACACTCTCATCAAGGTACAATGATATGCAATTGTCCAGTTACCAACCTCACCACTCAACCATTAAATCACCTTTAATGACTAACACGAGATGCTGGGTATGTATTCTATGACAGATTCCCCGAGAGGATGTATTATTTTATAAAAATATTACTCAACAAATAAAAGAATGATCAAATCTATTATTTATTAACAAACATTTGATGCCATACCAAAATACCAGATTCAGAGTCAATGTATTACTTCCTCAAAAGATTATCTGCAGAAACATATGTTTCAACATGCTTAATTTTTCCAAGATGTTTCTTGAAATGAAAATATTCAATGTATTTTCCGCAAAACAAGTGGCATAGGCTATATGTGTTTTTTAACACGGAAAGTATCAATTATTTAACTTAAATCAATGTCAAAGGAACAGTATAATCTAAGACTATCACATACATGTATGTTCAGGGATTTACATGGAGTCCTGTATTTCAGGGTCCCTGGGACTCATACTCTTAATTTTCAGGGGTCCTGGACAACAAAATGGGGGTCCCAGACACTTAAATATTATTATTAATACTCTTATTGTATTGTGTGTCATGATCATCACATTGTTACAGTAAATATATTGCAAATAGTACCATAACCCAGCTAGTAGCAAACTCAGTGATAATGTATTTCCACTTGACTGGAATTTTTACAAAAAGTATTTTTTTAGGCCCTTTGGACACGCTAATATATTTTGTTGCGTCCATTGTTAATTTTTATGCGTATAGGACGCAGGAATTCTCATCCTGTAATTCTCTGATGTTCATGTTTACCTAAGTGTATACTTTTTACCACATTCACAGAAGAGAAGTGAACAGAAGTTTTATGTTCACAAAACATTTCTGGTAAAACACCCAGTTATCAACCCTGTAGCTCTAAATTGTGATAATACTGCAATGACTATATATAACACAAAACCAAAACCAAAAACTTCTCCACATCTCCCCCTAAAGGAAACAGAATGTGTGATCACCTATCTCAAGAGGAAGCAATCTTACTTGTCGACTTACTCTTAAGAAACCAAACTTTTAAAGACCAAACTTGGCGATCAACTTATTCCATTGAACTATCTTAGCCATGTACTCACTCCATAGGAAGCAAACTTAGTGATGCACTTACTCTGTAAGAACCAAACTTAGAGATGTACTTACTCTGCAGGAACAAAACTTAGTGATGTACTTACACTGTAGTATTGTACTTACACTAATAGGAACCAAACTTTGTGATGTACTTACACTACAGGAAGCAAACTAAGCGATGTACTTACACCGTAGGAACCAAACTTAGCGATGTACCTACACCATAGGAACAAAACTTAGCGATGTACTTACACTAATAGGAACCAAACTTTGTGATGTACTTTTTACACTACGGGAACCAAACTTAGCGATGTACTTACACTTTAGGAACCAAACATAGCGATGTACCTAAACCGTAGGAACGAAACTTAGCGATGTACCTACACCGTAGGAACAAAACTTAGCGATGTACCTACACCGTAGGAACAAAACTTAGCGATGTACTTATTCTGCAGGGACCAAACTTAGTGATGCTGCAGGAACCAAACTTAGCGATGTATTTACACTAAAGGAACAAAACTTAGTGATGTACTTACACTAAAGGGACCAAACTTAGCGATGTACTTACACTGTACGAACCAAACTTAGTGATGTTCTTACTCTATAGGAATCAAATTTAGCAGTGTACTTACTCTATAGGAACCAAACCTAGCGATAAACTTACTCTACAGGAACTAAACTTAGCGGAGTACTTACTCTATAGGAATCAATTTAGCAGTGTACTTACTCTATAGGAACCAAACCTAGCGATAAACTTACTCTACAGGAACCAAGCTTAGCGGAGTACTTACTCTATAGGAACAAAACTTAGCAATGTACTTACTCTGCAGGAATAAACTTAGCGCTGTACTTACTCTATAGGAACCAAACCTAGTGGAGTACTAACTCTATAGGAACCAAATTTAGCGATGTACTTACTCTATAGGAAACCACTCTGCACATAATCTCTTGACCTCATCCAGATCATGAGGGCAGAGAAAGCGCAGCTGCACTTCTTGCTGCACACACAGAGACAGGACCTGGCTCATAGAGGCATAACCGATCTCAAGCGCCAGTGGCAACAAGATACCTGTTACCAAGGTAACAGCAGGCCTTCATAAAGGTTCATAGCGTCAATGTCATCTGTTACCATTAACGGGTCTGAAAGAAAACAAAGGAACAAGTTCCAACAATACATATATGGAGTAATTTAATGATGGCAGAACAGATATTCAATACTATCTCTTTGCACAATTATCAAAACAATACTGCCATATATATTTATTAACTCTACTTCATGTACATAAAACATGCATAGTGTCAAACATATTCTATATCATATTAATAAACACACTATTGCAACTCTTTCTAAACAACCTGACGTGAAAATGTACAGAAAACGTAATCAAATAGATGACACTCTGCCATAATATTGATTTTCAGAACTATTTTGTTTGTTTGTATCATATTAATGCTAGTGGTGTTCTGATGATAAAAAATAATCAAAATCGATCGAAAGAAGGATTAAAAGTAATTATCGATTGTGAAAAACATATTTTCGATTAATTAGAATTTTCTTGTTTTAGTATAACATACATGAATGTAGTAAATTAACCATTAAATTTGACAAACAACATGCGCTCAACAGCGTAAGGCTATGCGCATTGTATTCCTAGTTTCGTATTCATCGCTATGGTAAATATTACTGTAACCTGTCCATGATTAGTATGAATACATCTATTGTGAACATAATGAGATATAATGATAATATCTTAGTTTTAACCACTCTTATTGTTTAATTACAATTCCAGTGTCTTTCTTGCATGCATGCATTTCATTGCATGACTGTATTAGTTAAAAAAAAACATTCAGTAGAAAACACCTGGTGAAAAACCCTTAAAATTGGTGATTACATTAGAAATGTATATATTTCGATTATAATTGCTAATTGTTCACCACAAGTCCTCTGATATTTGATAGTGGGTTTGGTTTCCGATTCCCAACACTATTTAATGCCCCACTTAGCAATATTCCGGCTGTATGACAGTAAATAATCAAGTCTGGATCAGACAATCCTGAGACTGACATCATGAGCAACGAACTACACAACTGGGATATGATGACATGTGTCAACCAAGTTAACTCGCCTGATCAACCAATCCCGTTAGTCGCCTCTTACTGAAGATCATTCTAACCTGGATCTTCACAGGTGTAAGGTGACCATAACTAACATACTTTTACATGGGCTTACGACAACATTAGTGCTCAGGCTAGCTATTCTCGAAACGTTCGTAGCCCTACAAACTTCTTAAACCCATTCTTAACACATTGGCTACGATCAAAGTTAAGAATTCTTAGGGCTACCAACATTCAGAGAATAAGGGCCCAGATTGCTTCGTGGAACAGGGCCATGAGCTCAAGGGCATCTATAGCCAAAGGGCTGTACTATTTATAGTACATTTGCGGTCAGTGGTGGTTTCCTTTTGCTCTGATCACAATTCTGGATTGAGAAGGTAAACAAATTAGGCTGAATCATTGAAAAAGCTGGCATCTGATTGCGACAAGATCCCACACATCCTCTCACATAGACTGGCACTCACCAAGGATCCATCCTGTTAGGGGGTCTCCTGAAATCTTAACACATAGAGGTGTCGTATTGGAGTAACATCTAGTCTCAAAAAATGGACATTTTTCACTAGGGGTGAAACGGTACGCTCTTACCACCGTACGGTAGGTATTGCGCTACAAGGCCTTCGGTTCGGTCCGTTTCGGTTCGGTATATGAGAACTTACTTCCGAGAAAATATCCGCCTTCTGGCAAGGAAAGGCATAGATTTTGACAATATGATTCGATTTCTAGACATTTTAGAATAGGTTATAAAAGGGTAATAAATGACGGTACGAAAACTGAAAATACCGAATTTTTGAATTGCATTACGGTATACCGAACCGAAGGCAAAATACCGCGGTTCTACTAATACTGCGGTATTCCGTTTCATCCCTATTTTTCACAGCCCACCACTGCCGCCCCAGTAATTATCTTGATAAATCATAAAAAAGAAACACTGACAATGGAGTAACCTAAACTTACTAAATATTATGAACTTGGATGGGCTGTACTGGATCTGTTCAAGGACAGTATGACAGACAAAAGCTACAAACATTTATAAAACAGTTGTAGGATTGACTAGGTTTTTGTCTTGTTTAAAATCCTGTTGGACACTATTCACTACTGGGTCAAAGATGTTCTATTTTTTCAAATTTCAGAGAAACATAGAGAACTGACAGTAACCATTTTCTCCATGAAACTTCAACTCGATAGAACTGGACATGTTTACATCAAATTACATTAGATTACTTTCTATAATAAGTAGCTAAACATCAGAGTATAAAAATGTTTTCATTGGTAATGTTTCTAGTAGTCTGCAATATTCCTATTTAAATCACAGGAAGCCTATAAATAACAGAATTAGGATCAGGGAAAACAGTGGACAATATAGGGAGTAACAATTAACAACATCGATCACAACCCAGTTGGTTGCATGTTAAATAGTTACAACCTGCATATGAGTCATTTGCTATGCAAGAGCTTTGGACTGATCTGCACACATACTTATCATTTTGGCACTTGTAAATTAAACCTGTGAAGATCTGGGTTAGAAATGGTCTTCAGTAACCCATGCTTGTCAAGAGAGGGACTAACGGGAGCGGGTGGTCAGGCTCGCTGACTTGGTTGACACGTCATTGTATCCCAATTGCGAAGATCTATGCTCATGCTGTTGATCACTAGATTGTCTGGTCCAGACTTGATTATTTACAGACTGCCGCCATATAGCTGGAATATTGTTGAGTGCGGCACAAAACTAAAGTCACTCACCCACTCACTTGTCAATACAATTATGGAAGAGAGTTACTTTTCAAAGTTCATTTGAATTGTTCAGCACATATAACAACCATAGTAATTCATTAAATATTTTATGACAACTATAGCAATTTATGAAATATTCTATAACAATAATAACAATTTATGAACAATTCTATGACAACTTTAGCGATTTATGAACTATTATATTACAACTATAACAATTTAAGAAACATTCTATAACAACCATAATAACATATGAAATATTCTGTAAGAACTATGATAATCATTGCAACATTAAACAATGATAAAAAAATTATGTGGTATCAGCACTCAATTCTCTGCAGTAAATATAAAAGAATTTGCTAAAAACAGCAATTAATATAATTTCTACCATACCTATTGAGTGACGCATTGATGACTCGTAACACATAACCTATACACATCTGTTACCTAGATGTTTGGCTCTACAAATTAGCATGTTATGTTACCAGTTAATGACATGACAACATCATGCTGTAGTACTTTAGAATGGCTGACACCTTCTCGCCTCACAGGAAAAGAATGTTAATTCACTGTAAGTCTAGCCTTTAAACAAGGGTGTGATTAATACCTAATTTTCCATATAATAAATACAGAGGATGTCATTTTATCGTAAATGATTGTCTCTGGCCACATACTCTCCATTGTCTGACTTCCAAAAGCATAGATTACAAAAAAGAGTGATTGAAGGCTTCGAGATGTCAACAAATAGAATCCCATATCTGCCATATGATTGGAGCATGTTCAGCTTCATTTGAAATTAAAATTTGTAAGCACACGATTGCAGTAAAGCAGTTGTGTCCTCTATTGAGTAACAACATCAACTAGTACTGAACTAAACCAGTATCCATCTCAAATGTTTCGTCGTACATTTCATTCACGGAAAATTCTGTGGCCAGATCTGATAGCGAAAACACGAAATACATACATCATAAATATCTCCCTGAATAATCACCTGTGCTTGCTTCTATATAAACAATATGCATATGCGTACGTCGAATAATAACTTCCGGTTTGGGAAAGTACTCGCACTTGATGCGACAACCCAGGGTCGTCGCAACTTCGCTCTCTTGTCGAGCCCAAACCCACCCGGAAACGATAATAACGGGAAGTGGTTAAGAAATCAGACCAAACCGGCACTATTTCAAAACGACACCAAGCTAATATATAGAAACGGCATGGCTCGTTCGCAAAATACAAACCTGACCATATTGACTAAAACCACGTTTGCAGGTTTCTCAGCACCCGAACGATGCCCGTTAGTTTCACCCATGTGGTAGTTTAATCTGACAGCTGCATTGAACAAACAATTAGCTAGACACGCTTAATTCCTGTTTTAAAAGCGACGTAAACCCATATCTAGTCTGTCTCACAGTCCCTGAACCACATTATTGTCCCTACTGCCAAGCCCTCTCTGCAGCGCTGAAGCCCTAAATAAAGCAAGTCTAGATTTCCTCAGGTTCAGGAATCTCTGGTCTCCCTGGGGCTTCTTTTCAACTTAAATGGGCTTGTTTGTTACTAGATCTATCAAAATTGTGTATATTCAGAGACTTAAGCATTAGTCTAACCCATTTCATTCACACTTCATTCAGTTTATTTAGGCATACCAGACAATCGTTTGCATTTTTTCAATAATGTCGAGCCCTGACCTTCTGAGTGGCAACTTCAAAGGTCATAATATAAGTTCACTGCAAGTGTCACATATGAGCCATTTAATCCGTTTGTAAAATCCGTGACTTGACAAAAAGATATGATTTAAGAAATATTCCTAATAATATGTGATATACTTACTTATTGTTTAATATTCATAACTGCACAACACTACACCGAGGATTCTGTCACGTTACGAAAAATAGTGACGTTACGTTTCCATGCAACGATCTACTGTACAGTACATGTCGATTGGGACGTTTTGGTGCTATGCAGTTTTGGTTCCACAACGTGTAGGATTTGTACTAAAGTGTGACTATTTCAAATACGAAATGTGGCAAATGCGAAAGTTAACTAATATAGTCCGTGAGAGATGTAAATCTTTTACCTGTTTCTATTAACATTTTACATGATTGGTATAAGGTTATAGGATCAATGGTTCATTTTCATTTGATGCCCTGATCGTATGTTTTGGCGACGGATTTTCGTTCATGTTTACAAAATGGCTGCATCCGACCAAACACATGGGCCAGTTACAGTCCAAGGTTTCACTGGTAAAGCGTTTCTTCTTTACATTTACGTTGTGATTGACGGACGGGTTCCACCTAGCACTAACCAAAACACGAGACAATGTTGCAAACCTTAGTTTGGTTGGGGAACATAGATTCTAGATGGGATTTGAAGTACAGCCCAGGCTGACCAGAGTTGTTGGCCGGGATAATTTGTCGCAGTATTGTAACTGGAAGATCTCGTAATCCACACCATCTGCCGGCTCTGTAATCACTAAATATAATCACGATATTTCAAACACTGATCGAATAGAGAACTCACTGCTGAATGTCCCGAAAGTAAACTCATTGTATGTTTGTAATAGTTTCCGAAGTATTTTTGATGTGGAACTCCATTCGAAATTGGTTAGAATTGGCATGTTCCTTGACATTTAATGTAGCAACTAGACCAGTAACAAATGTTAAACTTGTAACTGAATGAAAGTAGGTGCCCAGAAATTCAGTTAGTGACGCGAAAGACATCATTGAGATTATCAGCATGATCAGTGCGCAGGCTTTTTATGATCAGGGATTTGAGTTGCCTGATTATTGTACTAGCTTTGCCAGGACCATACCCAGCGCCCAAAGTTTAATAATTGAAACCAGCATCACTTCAAGTTTTCCTCCCACATTCAGCTGATTGAAATAGAGTTCAAAGCAGCAACAAACTCCAAACCAAACTCATTCAATCACGAACATGTTTAATCACTCGTTTATCCATTTCTTTTTCAGTTGTTCCCTTGAAGTTCAGTGCTGACAAACCTGCCCACTGCCTCTATCTAAAGGAACACAGTGTCAGAGAGAAGGATTCTTCGTATCCACGATATAGAACTCTTTTTGTGCTCAATGTACCACCTTACTGCAATGAGGTAAATATGACCATGATCGTTATGATAATTATACCAAGTGACAGATGTTATCTTAGGATAGAGTATATCTCATTCATGAGAGTAGAAATTTGCTTGGTGATGGAATTGGGTTTAATGTCGTGCTTGAGAATATTTCGCTCATATGACGATGCGTGCATGCGTGTGTATGTGTATGTGTATGTGCGGCTGCTTGTACTAGCCCAGACTTCAGCTGGTTTGATAGTGCTAGCCCCACTGTGATACCATGCCGCAGTGAAGCATGAATACCCCACTCAGACACATTATACTGACTCCCAGCCGACCAGTCCTTGATGTACCCATTAATGCCGAACGCCAGGCAGGGACCAACAAGTACCATCTTTTAACATCTTTTGGTATGACGCAGTCAGGGATCGAACCCGCGACCTTCCGCTCTCCGGGCGGACGCTCTAACCACTACACCACGGAGGCGGTCAGAAATTTGCTTGGATGGCAGTATTTAGCTCAGTGTGATTTAAATCAGACTCAAAGATAAACATGATAAAGTGGTATAATGGTCAGATGTGTTGATGGACTATGGATTTAATACAATTAATGTTTGATAATGTCCTTTGTTTCATAGTGGAATCTTATAATGTAGAGTTAATTCACTTTTCATGTTAATTGAGAATGAGATGTTGATTTTATTCACACTTTCAATTTTTGCTGTATTTATAATTATTAATTTCACCAATCTAGGACTGTGTGAAGCAGCTGTTTACACCTTGTGGGAAGATAGTACAAGTGTCCCTACACGACAAGCCCACACCAACAGCTCCCCCAAGCAGCAGTTCTCGGTACTTCCCTGTCAACATCTCTACCCCAGTATGTATAATAGTGTAATATGTGCAATGCAGCAATAGTGCTTAGGCAAGACAATAAGCATGATAAGATATTTGTAGATCAGAAAACATGGACCCAACAGATAAGAGTCAGTAGGAAGTGCTTCTGAACTAATGATTTTTAACACAGATCGCTTGATCAGAACTGAAGTTAGGGAATGTATTTTGAATTTGTAGGTACATGTAATTGCAACAGTGAAAGAAAAGAAAAGAAAATTTATTGATCAGTATATAGATCATTTTGTTTTCTTGAGGTAGAAATAGGTAATAACATTTTCTTTGAATGATGTTTATCTACTGACTTCAAATACACATTCCAGTAAACATTGGATATAGTAATCAGACTGGTAATATTAAAATTCAGATGATATGATTGGCTAATGTACAAAATGGGAGAAAATAGTACAGTGATTATTACTGATTAAAATACTCATAACAGTACTCTTACCTTTTATTTGAAAAGTACTTTTCAAAAGTATCAGTTCTCATAATCATACACACAGTTTTGATTGGCTTTGCAAGTATAGTCAGTGCACCTGTCTATCTCCAGGGATTTAAGGTTGCATACATCGTTTTCAAGAATGCCTCAGGAGTCAAACAGGCCTGCAAACTGTCCTATGACTCACCTTTAGTTCTCAACACACCAGAAAAAATTGTCAGCAGTACTGGACTTCACAGTGAGTATTCTATGATGACAGTCAAGGGTTTCATATCTTACTGCCCCATGGTGATCACAGTTTAGAACCTGTGCTGGTTGCAAGGATAACTTACTGAATCTGGTGATCAGGCTTGGCCACTGTTTTTGTATGTCATTGTACCCCAACAATATCGAATGTTTGTTCATAATATCAATCACTGGATTGTGGACTCGATTATTTACAAACTGCATAATAGATGGAACTGTGCCGAGTGCTGAATTAAACAAGCAAATCATTCAGTTACGCTAACTTGGAACTATTGCGACCATGCATGAATACAAATAAGAAGTTCAGGGGTGGAAATAACGCATTGCCCGACGTCCGACTCCAGTGTTTTTTTCTGTCGGGCAAGCAAATTTGTATATCACATTGTACCGATGTCCAATTGACTTTCCAATGTTAATTATGTTGTTTATTTAAAAAATCAACAAGAAAACAACCGGTATAGTGGAAAAATTATCAGGGCAAGTGATTTTACATGTGCCACTGTACCGGAGTACACTATCAATTTTCACTGATTTTTCCACCCCTGAAGTTAACGAAAACCTGATTAATTCATATTACCAGTTAGACCTGGTCAGAGGCCCCAAGTCTGCAGGAATTTTCAGTTGAAATTGGTGTTACTGAGTTCCTATTTCATGTGAATACATGCAGTTTTAACTAATGTGATGGTTTGGTCGAGGCGGGTCATATTTCACTGGTGACAGGACTCAAAGATGGTGTGACATATTTACAAAAGTAATGTGAAATAATCAAGTGTTTTTAACTCCTTTTGATTAGTATATATCATATGGAAGTTGATGTTTCACTTTGAAAGATGTCTTTTCAACAGAATGGTGCAGACAGTATGCAACACGGAGGGTGGACGTCAAAGAACTACAGACAGAAATCGAAGACTACATGGCCAAGTTTGATGCCAAACAAGAAGAGGTATGGTCTGATCTTTGCCCCATGCTGATGCCAGGGTTATCTACAGTATTTGTTCATAGCCTGAAATGTCCGGGTTCAGTTTCCAGCATGGGTACAATGTGTGAAGTCCATTTGTGGTATTTTGGATGGTTTTAATGTGAGTTCGGACTGACTGTGTGCCATGTTATTTCAGACATTACTCATACAGTCAGTCATATATTTGTCTTGTCCAGACTATTGTATTTGCAAACCTGTTTGTGGCTGAAGATTTTGGAAATGTTTTAGGTTAAATAAGCATTGTCACTTTAGCCAAGAAACATACAAGCATCAAAAGTACCATCACAGAATCTATGTCAAACAAAGTGCTAAATACCAAATTTTGGTGGCATCATTAACATTTATTGTCCCATGTTTGTTAATCATTTGAGTCATGCACATTTCAGTTATATCCCACTGATGTACTGTAACCTTAATATGTCGGGCTTCCCTTGCCTGAATTGTAAGTAGCTGCAATATTCACTCACTTCGTAATCATGTGAATATGCCAACATAGTCAAGAACATGGACTGGACATATTATGAAGCACACCCAGGGTTTAACCATCAGAGATCAACAGATAAGGTATGATGTCTCTCTTCCAGGAAACACAACGTCTGAAAGACCAGGAGGGGGTTGCAGATGAGGATGGGTGGGTCACTGTGACCCGGGTTGGCAAGAACAAAGGTACCCCACGTACAGAGGCATGCAAAAAGCATCTCACAAAGAGGGAGATGAAGAGAAGGAAAGAGAAGGTGTGTACAGGAACAAGGACCAACACCACCCACAGGTTTCACACAATCACATGGGCCTTACACTAACATCCAGTTGCATATATTGTAGTTTGTCGAAGTATGTCAACACTTTTTTCATCTGTGATTGATTGATCGATTCATTATTTTAACGCTGCACTCAGTAATATTTCAGCTATATTTGACAACGGTCTGTAAATAATCAAGTCTGGTCCAGACAATCATGTGATCAACAGTGTGAGCATTGATCTACTCAAATGGGATACAATGACATGTGTCAACCAGTCAGCGACCCTGACCACCCGATCCCATTAATAGCCTCTTACGACAAGCATGGGTTACTGAAGATCAATTCTAACCCAGATCTTCACAGTATATTTGTCTGTGGCATAAAACACCATTTCAGTACTTGCTGGGAGTGAGCATTTCTTTCCATTTTCTGGACAGAGTTGCTTCCCTTAGGTGGGTCAGAAACTGTACGATCACTGTATACAGGATGATGGGTTCCCAAAGCAGTCAACATGCATCCTCCCTCATCAGACTGACATGTGATTTACCTGAAATACTGATCCAAGAAGCACTATTACTCAAGGCTCAGTAACACACTTATTTTCTCATTTTCTTTTTGCAGGAGCTGCTGAATTTCTATGCCTTTCAGTTTAAAGAAACAAAGAAAGATCGTAAGTATACTTTAAATCTAAAACCATATTATCTTGTACGGTTTATATGAAAATGGAAATGCCCTAGCCATATTATAACCAACATTATTTCAAGAATATAATCTCACTCAGTATCGGAAGGTCTAGAATATGACATGTTGCTGGTTTCTTTACAGAGATAGCTGTTCTGAGGAAGAAATTCGAAGAGGATAAACAAAAAATATCTGTGATGAAAGCTGCAAGAAAGTTCAAACCCTACTAGTGTATAGTTTTTGTAAATAAAAAGTTTCTAAAATGAAATCAGATTTTGAAAGGGTCAACATGGTCACTCTTATGCCGATTATCTAAAGTTTGTTTAACATGTTTGATGTTGAACTCAACAACATTCCTTCATTCCTGAGTATAGAGCTCAGGTCACAAATCAGTTGAATTTAAGCAACATTGGGCACAGAGTGTCCATGGATGGGTGACCATGTCTGGTAGCTTGACTCCTGAGATTTTCTAGGACTTCAGTCCTGCCCCACAACGAAGCACATGTGATACATGTGGTCCCACCTTAGGCTAGTGAGTTTGTTCAAAATTGCCTCTGTTCACCCAGCAGAAAATGGGTACCTGGTGGGATAAGTCATGTGACTATTAACTTTCTAGCGCCTCACACACAGCTTGGGATATCCGGGGTAATATTAATCAGATTCAGCTGCGCTTTGATTCTAAGCACTATGAGTGACTGAGTTTGGTTTTACGCCGCTTTTAGCAATATTCCAGCAACATCACGGCGGGGGACACCAGAAATGGGCTTCTAAGCACCATGAGCATTCACCTTGTGATTGGAGTTTAGCGCGTTATAAATGCACTTATTATTATTCCACACATATGACATCGTCCACAAAAAAATCAAGCCTGGACAAGTCAATCCAGGGATAAATATTATTGAGATCCAGCCACAGTGGGCAATTTGCTGTGCAGATTGAATCCAAGATTTGCCTTGATCATTATAACTGACTTTCTGAATCAGTTGCATCATATTTGTGTTCATGACTTTCAACAGTGTGGCAGATACCTTATACCTGAATTGTTTGGGCTTTCATCTCAACACGCTTACACATCATGATCATGACATAACTGAAATCCAGTCTTAAGCACCACAAAACCCAGCTCCCTCACCACAACCTGAGCACCAATTCACACTAACTAAGAACAGTTGTAAGCTGAGTAGTATTAACTGAATGAAGTGACTGGTTCAGTCCATCCTCGATAATCTCCAGGGTATATGTTCCGATAAATCTTCACAAGTACCCTGGATGCATCTATGGCTCGGCCCGGTAATTTAATTACCTCCCTTTGCTGGCTCCGCATTCTCACAGTAGCCAATCAGCTAAGCCGCCTTTACAACCAAGCTTGCCAGTGTCATCAAAGACAGCGGTCGCAGCCAAGAAGGGTTGTTCGCAGAGAGAAATCATACAGACAAATTGACAGGTCTGAAACTTGAAAAAAGATTTTTGCAAGAACTCCTTCCACCTTTGCATCAATTGTGTTGCCAAGTTTAATCGGTTAGATGATTAAAGAAGCGAAATGAGTTGTGATTGTTACGCTCAACTTCCAAGCATAGACACCTGATTGGATAAAAAGCTAGCCAAGGGAGGTAATAAAATGATCGGGCCGAGCTGTAATGCATCCAGGGTATAGTAGAGATTTATCGTAACGTATACCCTGGAGATTATCAAGGATGGGTTCGGTCAGAATGATACATCCATTTCTGTGCCCTGCAACGGACGAACTGAGTAACACTGCTCTGTGACAGTTCATCTGATGTTATACTGAGTAACACTGCTCTGTGACAGTTCATCTGATTTTATGTTATCGGTTCCCAATTGCGCACATCGATGCTCATGCTGTTGATCACTGGCTTGTCTGGTCCAGATTAGATTATTTACAGACTGCCGCCATATAGCTGGAATAGTGCGGAGTGCGGCGTAAAACTAAAACTCACTCACTCATCTGATGCTGTGTCTGTAAACTGGCTTATGCAATTGGCTAATGGGGGGAACAATGATCGAGGGAAAAATACCAGCTCCTTGAGCATGCACTCGTGCGTGGGTATGTGCGCTATATAAATATCCAATAATAAGAAGAAGACAAAGTCATCAATATCCCCCCGCAATGGCAAAATACTCTTCATGAATATGTCTACTAGTTATGGTTATGTCAAATATTTTGGTGTGTATATGGTAAAGTGGAAGGAGAGTATTGAAAGGTTTTAAGTTCTGCTCCAGAAAGGAGCACTACCACCAAAATCAGGCAAACTTGTTGGCATGGAAACACAAAAAATACTTTATTCAGAAATCCAAAACTACCAAAAGGCCCCACTTCACCACCAGACCTATCTATGTGCCAAGTTTGGTGAAGAAATATTGAATGGTTTTAGAGTTCTGCTACGGAAACAGGAGTCATCAGAAGATGACATATCCCCCCGGCCCCCACATATTTGAAAGAACAAATCATCTGACAGTTACTTAAAGTCCAGCTTGACTTTTTTTTTTAAACTAAATCCAAATCGTTTCCATGGAAATCATGAGAAATATAAATGCCAAAAATCTGTAAATAACAAAAGGCACCATTTCAAATTTGCCTTATATATCTGCCAAGTTCTGTTGTAAGATACTGAACGCTTTTCGAGTTGTGCACCGTAAATGAAGCCCAGCCCCTCCCTTTTGGGACTAAGTCCTAACTGTTTCCATGAAAACCGGGAAAAATAAATATGCCAAACTTCTGCCAAATAGCAAAAGGCATCACATATCTGCCAAGTTTTGCTGAAAAATATTAAGAAGTTTTCGAGTGTGCTCCGGAAACGAAACCCACCCCTCCCTTTTGGGACTAAGTCCGAATCGTTTCCATGGAAACCGAGAAAATAATAAATCACAAAAATCTGAAAATAGCAAAAGGCACCACTTTGGGATCTGCCTCACATATCTGCCAAGTTCTTCTGAAAGAATAAAAAGCACTAACACCAATTTCAGTCAAAGTCAACTTTGTTGCCATGGAAAAGCAAAAAATATAATAATCAGAAATCCCAAACTACCAAAAGGCACCAGTTCATCACCAGACCTATCTATGTGCCAAGTTTGGTGAAGAAATATTGAATGGTTTAAAAATTCTGCTCCGGAAAAGACAAATGTGCACGCATGGCCGGACGGACGGACGAAGTACAGTTTAATACCCCCCCCCCCATCGCAAAACGCGTTGCGGGGGATAATAATATACATGTAATATACACTGTACATCAGAAAAATGGTAACCTTCTTACAGCTCCCGGAAAACAGAATATTTAAAACTTATCCTAACTCAAGCAATACATACCGTGAGAGTTAAAATTTTCAATTATTTCTGCTTTCATAAAATCTTAAATGGTCCCCTTGCTGAAACAGGATGAGTAAGTAAATCAAAAACACTCGAGCTTGACAATGAGTTTATATAACAATAATGAATGCAGTTACATACTTGACCCAGTTTGAACACTATTCTATAGCAATGTATCGGTGTTAACAAAACATGACATAAAGTTTTCAAAAACTATTCTTGACCAACGCTTTTCATCAAACTGACAGCAAAATCATTCCGTACACTCTCAAGTAAACAAAATGCCTTTTAATGATTCATATTCCGATTTTGAAAGCACTGTGTTTATCATAAACTCCATATCAAGTTCAGTGAGACCATAATCCAGGATCGTAAGACGTATGATCGCCTGATGTCTACATGAGTCCTTCCTCCACACAAAATTATGTAGATTATGGTCACAAGCATGTCACATGGTCACAAGAATGTCACATGATCACAAGCATGTCACATGATCACCTGATATCCACTTAAAGTCTCTTCTTCATGATAACGTGGATCACAAGATGATCATATGATCACCTGATATCCATTGGAGTCTCTTCTCCTCCAAGATGATGTAGAACCATGTGAAGCAGTCTGCAAGTAGACATTAACAGGAAATAATCAGAATAATTACAAGATAATAAATCTGGATTCTCAAATTGATCAGCTATTATATTTCAGAAGATCGATTTTCAGGCTGTGAAAGAACTGCTTAAGACAAATATAAACTTCTTAAGACAAACAAAAACTGCTTAAGACAAACACATTTTCACAGGGACATATTCGATAAACCAGCATATATCTCCATCCTGTTTATATGATAAAGTTATTGACCCTGTTTGCTTCAAATGCTCTACTTGTCAAGTAATGCAATCATCTCGGTCAGATAGTCTCTGGCATGTATTGTGTAGATCGATGCTCATGATGTTGACCACAGGATTGTCTGGCCCAGATGCGATTATTTACAGTCTGCCAACATATAGCTGGAATATTGCTGAGTGCGGCGTTAAACGATAACAACCAAACCAATCCAAACTCTAGCATGTAGGTGTACATTAACTGGCCAACTATTATTTGTGTCGTGTTACATAAAGCAGATACATCACAAGGTGAGTTAAGTGAAACTGGGTCTAACATCCTGTTTGGTCTTCAAGATTATTGTACCTGTGTAACTACGTGTGTGTTGGATGTGAGTGTGCATGCAGCTTGTATGCATTTGTCTGTCTGCCTGCCTGCCTGACCTATGTTTTATACTGCTGGCCAAAGTGCAGTTCACCATTGACACTAGGGGTGTCACGATTCACTCTCACTTCGATTCGATGCGATTATCGATTCAAATCGTTCGATTCAATTAATTTCAATTTGATTCACCAAAGCTGAGGACAAAGTCAAATTTGTTGTAATATCAGTTTAATTTGGCAAACTTTGCAATGCGCAATTAGAACACTGTCAAGACAAGTTGTCAACAAATACTCACTGAACAAGTGATCATGAAATTAAGTTTCAGTCATGAACTTTGGTGTCAAGCGTTCATTGTGACTGTAATGTCACTGTAAGTCATTTGGAATGATATGTTCTGTGCAAGTAATTCTCACTTGAAAGACATGCCCTCTGGGCACTTACAATGTCTCCCGCAGTGGAGCATACCCTCTCACTGGCCACACTTGTACAAGCAAATTTTCAACAAAATTTCTTACGATTTCAGGTGAAATAAACTCTCAGTATTAGAAAGTAAGTACTTTATAAATCGAATTGAAATGGATGCATTTGAAATCGAGATCGAATCGTACATCTATCGATTCAATTTTCGATGAACCGAACCGAATCGTGACAGCCCTAATGGTCACCCAGTCAGACCAAGTATACTGACTCCCAACTCACCAGTCCTTGTGTTATCTCATTACTGCCAAGCGAAGCATAAACTTGAAATGGTTGCAATATAGAAATATTCACAATTTTCTCCCAACAAGACAATTACTTTATCAAATTGGATACACATCTTCACCAATATGTCCATTTTGTGAAACAGAAAGAGAAACTATAAACCATATGTTATGGGAATGTGAATCTGTTTTTAAATTATGGAAAGAAATAGAATCATGGTTGAACTCAGTACTGGAATTTACAAATAAAATGGTTATATTAGGAATGAAAGGCTAGAACAATACTCCCTTTAATGAAATCATTTCAGAAGTCAAACACTTTATCTGTAGATGCAGGACAAATGGTCTCAGACCAAAGTTAGAATATTTAAAAGATTAAATTGTCCATCACTACGATATGTCAAGATATGTTTACCTATCAACGGGAAAGGTCAACTTTACATTCATTACTTGGAAAATAATCCTGCCAATTGTACATTTTTATACATGTATACATATAGCATTGTATTATTAGGAAACTTATCTTACATGTTTGCCTGTACCATGAAATATATGGAAAATAAATTTAATTTTAAAAAAAAAATAATGCCAAGCACTAGACAGGGTAACAACAAGTACCATCTTTAAATGTCTTGTGGTATAATAAAACATGGGATTGACTCCCTCCATTCTCCAGGCAGATGCTCTAGCCACTAGACCCAAAGGCAGTCATGACAAAGCTGTGATAGTCAGTGTACATACCTACGTACGTACCTACATACCTACATTTGTATAGCGCCGATATCCAGATTATATACTTTGTTTTTTCCCTCGTTCACTGGATGTCAATCTCAACGGCACATCGTATTTTCAATCTCAACTCCTTGGGGAGCATACAACTCTTGCAGCCACTAGGCGCACCGAGTTATTGTGGCATTCCCATCCTTACGAGGTACCCATTCACAGCTGGGTGGACTGGGACACATAGTCACATTACTAATATAACTTTGTCCAAGTTTACTGCACGTTGCTGTACCCGCAACTAGGTGTTTGCACGTATTCATGTGGCCACCATCTGGTCATATACCAACGGATTCGTGGGTTCTTTTAAGTGCACAGGGTTGTGTACTGTACACTAGGGGTTGTGACAACACTGAAAGAGTCTGCACACAAAGTTGACTCCAAGGTTATTTACACCCAGTCACAGGTGGGCTCGATCCCGTCACCTCAACCTCACTGGATCACTAGCCTGGCACTTTAGCCAGTTCGCCCACCACGCTCCATATGGTATATATATATGAAAGGAAATATAACTCACTGTATGACTGCATCAAAAAGCTTGCAATAGAATGATAACAAACTGTTCTTGGCATCATTTATGACTTCCTATTATATATGTTCAGATTGCATTTGAGTTAATGATTGGTGACCAACTCCTGGTACTTTTCACTAACCGATTTGAGGGAAGATATGTAGCCACTATAGATCTCAGTTCCTGGAAGTTGCCTGTAAAAAGAAAGTAATGTTTTCTTCAAATATCAATTTAAGTCACACCATTTCATAATTAGCTGGAGAAAATATTGTAAGAATGAACTTAGATACTGAACTTAAATACTGAAACACCCTGAAAACACATGATCAACTTTGACTCAAAATCAGAAAAGATGTGCTCAAAAAGACCATTTACCATTGTTGTGTTTGATCATCTCATACCAAAATACTGAGAACTAGATTGATATTGTGGTCATTGTAAACAAGAGTCATCAGAAGATGACATATCCCCCCGGCCCCCACATCTTTGAAAGAACAAATCATCTGACAGTTACTTAAAGTCCAGCTTGATTTTACACTAAGTGCAAATCGTTTCCATGGAAATGATGAAAAACATAAATGACAAAAATCTGCAAATAGCAAAAGGCACCACTTTGGGATCTGCCTCACATATCTGCCAAGTTTTGCTGAAAGATATTAAGAAGTTTTTGAGTTGTGCTCCGGAAACAAAACCTACCCCTCCCTTTTGAGACTAAGTCCGAATCGTTTCCATGGAAACCGGGAAAAATAAAAATGACAAAAATCCGCAAATAGCAAAAGGCACCATTTAAGGTTCTGTTTGATATATCTACTAAATTTTGTTGAAAAATATTGAACGGTTCTTGAGTTGTGCTCCGGAAACCAGAAGCCCACCCCTCCCTTTTGAGACTAAGTCTGAATCGTTTCCATGGAAACCGAGAAAAATAAAAATGACAATAGTCTGTAAATAGCAAAAGGCACCACCTTAGGTTATGTTTGACATATCTACCAATTTTTGTTGAAAAATATCGAACAGTCTTTGAGTCATGCTCCGGAAACAAAATGATTACGGACGGACGGACGGACAGACGGACGAGGCGACGACTATATATAAAAAGTCAAATATACATTTTATGCATTATTTTCCCTCCTGCAACTCCCTAAATGAAGCAAGTTTATATTTCCTCTGGTTCACGTTATGAATCTCCATTTTCACTGAGGCTCCTATTCAATGAAAAAGGAACTGCTTGTTTCTATCAAAATTATATATATTCAGAGACTGAGCATTAATCAAAATATCAACCAGTGAAAAAACAATATAAGTCTCTCTTTCCTGGACACCATAAACTGTCCACTGTCAGAATATAATCATCAATCGAAAACTTTCCCCAAACAGGGTTCAATTTAGTGCTTTGTTACTTGCACTGGTGCAATCCAATATTACAAAGTGCAACCTAGTTACTAGTCTAACTTGCACCAGGTGCAAGTCAATTTTTGAATGGGTAAACTTCTGAAATAAACATCGGAATAATTCAATAGCATATTTCTTTCATTATATATTGCAATAAAAGCACTGCAAATGGAATTTATCTGGTGCAACGAGGATTTGATTTTATGTTGCACTTGGTGCAAGTAGGTTAACATCTCATAAATCGAGCCCTGCCAAAATCTAGGCAGCTGACTTACCTCTATCCATCCTGAGACAGCCGCTAACAATAGCAACTTGCATCACTTGTGCCAGTCTCTCGATGGCAGTGTGAAGGTCAGGGTTGTCAGCTGCAAGTCCCGCCTTCTTCTGCAGGTACACCACCGAGTTTAGAATATTCATCACATCGCCTACTGTCAACAGATACTGTGACATGTGTGTGTTTTCACAAAACTGCAGACTCTGAAGCAGCCCCAGATGGAGTTTAGACAGGATGCTCAATGTTTTCGTGATATTTTCCTGTGAGATGTTGCGTGGTTTACAATCGCGCAGCATGTTGAAGATGATTGGTCCCCGCACACACCAGCCTGTGAGTCCCGGGATCGGGGAACAGTAGGTATTGTGGATGCTGACTTGTCGTACTGACTCGCAACACAGGGTGCAGTCCTCTGTGATCCACTCTGTCACATGCTCTAGCAAGGTTTGGGGCAGGATCTTCATCTTGTCTGAAAACAAAGGTTAGTGAGTTGGTTAGTTCATAGGGCTTAGAGCAATTGCCCTGGCACAAGTTCCATAGATATGTGAGTGAGTGAGTGAGTTTAGTTTTACGCCACACTCAGCAATATTCCAGCTGTATGGCGGCGGTCTGTAAATAATCGAGTCTAGACCAGACAATCCAGTGATCAACAGCATGAGCATCGATCTGTGCAATTGGGAACCGATGACATGTGTCAACCAAGTCAGCGAGCCTGACCACCCGATCCGTTAGTCGCCTTTTACGACAAGCATAGTTGCCTTTTATGACAAGAATGGGTTGCTGACGACCTATTCTACCCGGATCTTCACGGGTCTCCATGGATATGTAGTCAAGTTCACCTGAACATCAGATGAGATTCACAAGATATTAGGGGCAGTGGGGTAGCCTAGTGGTTAAAGCGTTGCTGGTCACGCCGAAGACCCAGGTTCAATTCCCCACATGGGTACCATCTGTGATGCCCATTTTTGGTGTCCCCCACTGTGATATTACTGGAATATTGTTAAAAGTGGCGTAAAACCATACTCACTTACTCACTAGAGCATTTTCTTTCAAATATTGAAAATAAATATCTTATTAAAAACTGAACTAGTATGTATAAAGTATACAGTGTATAGATGTATATAACCTTTTACTATAATACACTTTTAAAAAAAGATGTTATTATTTTTTTATATGGGGCCCTTTTAATTTTGATGCGGCCCTTTTGACTACGGGTTTGTTCCCTAGCAATTGGTCTCCAGATCCTCCCCATATGGACTATATATATAGTGTCATATAGCTGGTCTCCAGATCCTACTTGTAAGGACCATAGGGACAAACAACTGGTCTCCAGATCCTCCCCATATGGACCATATATATAGTGTCATATAGCTGGTCTCCAGATCCTACTTGTAAGGACCATAGGGACAAACAACTGGTCTCCAGATCCTCCCCATATGGACCATATATATAGTGTCATATAGCTGGTCTCCAGATCCTACTTGTAAGGACCATAGGGACAAACAACTGGTCTCCAGATCCTCCCCATATGGACCATATATATAGTGTCATATAGCTGGTCTCCAGATCCTACTTGTAAGGACCATAGGGACAAACAACTGGTCTCCAGATCCTCCCCATATGGACCATATATATGAGTGTCATATAGCTGGTCTCCAGATCCTACTTGTAAGGACCATAGGGACAAACAACTGGTCTCCAGATCCTCCCCCCCATATGGACCATATATATAGTGTCATATAGCTGGTCCCCAGATCCTACTTGTAAGGACCATAGGGACAAACAACTGGTCTCCAGATCTTCCCCATATGGACCATATATATAGTGTCATATAGCTGGTCTCCAGATCCTGCTTGTAAGGACCATAGGGACAAACAACTGGTCTCCAGATCTTCCCCATATGGACCATATATATAGTGTCATATAGCTGGTCTCCAGATCCTACTTGTAAGGACCATAGGGACAAACAACTGGTCTCCAGATCTTCCCCATATTGACCATATATATAGTGTCATATAGCTGGTCTCCAGATCCTACTTGTAAGGACCATAGGGACAAACAACTGGTCTCCAGATCTTCCCCATATGGACCATATATATAGTGTCATATAGCTGGTCTCCAGATCCTACTTGTAAGGACCATAGGGACAAACAACTGGTCTCCAGATCCTCACCATATGGACTATATATATAGTGTCATATACCTGGTCTCCAGATCCTCCCCATATGGACCATATATATAGTGTCATATACCTGGTCTCCAGATCCTGCTTGTAAGGACCACAGGGACAAACAACTGGTCTCCAGATCCTCCCCATATGGACCATATATATCATAAGTTGTATGCTTCTCTCGAGGGTAATACGGTCTGATGTATGCATCTTTGTAGCAGTGTTACCCGAGCCGGTAGGCGTATCTATCTTACCGCCATGTTAAATGTACAAAATATCATTTTATTTTGTTTTGAATATTGCTACCGAATATATGACATGCAAACAAAATGGCGTCTGCCTCTCGACTGGATTTTTAAAATCAGTGAAACATATTCTCACAACTTTTAAAATGGTTAAGTATGTTTAAGTTGAGTGTGCAAACGGTTCAATGTATAAATAGTTTAAATAAAGCTGTTAAAGACGGTAAAATAAATGTGTACATAGTAAACTCAAAAACAGCTAATCAAGCGGTTTCTGAACTCAGGGCACTGCATGTGTGATATTATGACGTCATAAGATTGTTAGCAATACGGCTTCTCAGCGGAGAGTTTGGTGGTTACCATGGTAATATTTTTTCCAGTTGTCACCCTCCTGGGAGGGGTGACACGGAAACTTTTAATGCGTCATTGACCAATGAAATTAAAGTATTTTACTTGAAGGTAAGATAAAGTGTCATATAGCTGGTCCCCAGATCCTGCTTGTAACGACCATAGGGACAAACAACTGGTCTCCAGATCCTCCCCATATGGACTATATATATAGTGTCATATAGCTGGTCCCCAGATCCTACTTGTAAGGACCATAGGGACAAACAACTATATATAGTCTCTGGTCAGATCTTCCCCATATGGACTATATATATAGTGTCATATAGCTGGTCTCCAGATCCTACTTGTAAGGACCATAGGGACAAACAACTGGTCTCCAGATCCTCCCCATATGGACTATATATATAGTGTCATATAGCTGGTCTCCAGATCCTGCTTGTAAGGACCATAGGGACAAACAACTGGTCACCTGATCTTCCCCATATGGACCATATATATAGTGTCATATAGCTGGTCTCCAGATCCTACTTGTAAGGACTATACGGACAAACAACTGGTCACCTGATCTTCCCCATATGGACCATATATATAGTGTCATATAGCTGGTCTCCAAATCCTACTTGTAAGGACCATAGGGACAAACAACTGGTCACCTGATCTTCCCCATATGGACCATATATATAGTGTCATATAGCTGGTCTCCAAATCCTACTTGTAAGGACCATAGGGACAAACAACTGGTCACCTGATCTTCCCCATATGGACCATAGCTATAAGATAAATGATACTACACAGTAAAGTACTTACCCACAAGGGTGTGTATGGAAGTCACAGATGCTATGAAGTTACAGACAAACAGCGGGGAGACTGACGGAAGTTTGAGGAAGACTTGAGAGGGACTCGGGAAGAGAAGACAATAATCTTCCACCACCCTCTGACTCAGGTCCAGCACACAAGGGCTGTCTGCACCTCTCTCCTGCAAAAACACAGACAGGGTTGTTAAAAAGATCGGTCCTCATGATGATATGATTAACTATTAGATTATGTACAATGCAAATATTTTAATGTAACTAAGGACACTTAGATAGATCTTCTTGTTTAAAGATGATCCTGACTTAAACTTTAACAAATTTAAAGGAAATAGAATATTCTCCTAAAATATTCTAGTTTCCATGATGTCAACCAGTTCAAGTATTTAAATGATTGCTATAATGCAGAGGTCCCTTTACCTCTGTCTCATATTCATTAACTTAGGTCTGTTAAAGGTCACATGCGATGCAAAACACAACTTTGCAGACTCTGATACCTTTCGGTATGGACTTATAGTAACAAATTAGCAAAAATGCAAATTCAACATATAAAGCTGAAAATTAATGTGATGAAAAAAACCCGCGAAATCAGGGTTCAAACGATTCACTAATTTCACCCCAGCGCTGGGGTGAAAAGTGGTTTCAACAGCTGGGCTGCGTTACGCCCATAGCGCATGCGCAGTGATTAGGTTCGTGCGGCTTGAACCGGGAAGGTGACTTGTAAAAACACAGAAAGTGATGCGTGCAAGGATTATCGCTGTGGTCGAAGTTGGAGAACAAAAGATGTTTCTTGTGATTACAAGCATCTTTGGTCTGCAGTAATAAAAATACACTGGTCCCATACTTTTTCTTATATGTTTTCACATCTTGCTTTTTGGGGGTTGGCAGATTTGCAAACCAAGTTTTCAAGAAAGTGTAGCATTAGAAATACTTATTTCTTTATTAAAAATTGCTCTGCTTGAAAACTGAAATGTTTTAATACATGTCTATGGAAACATAGAAAAATATGTTGATTGTGATAAGCAGTCTCTGTCACAGACAAAACTCAATATCTGTTTTATTGACACCTATGTGTCTGCCTGCCTGTCTGCTAATGACAATATGCAATACACAACTTCAATCATTGACTACATGCAATTTGAACTTGAAACATATCAGGCTATAGGCTATAAACAAAATACATTGATTTATGGCTCGTGCACCTGAGTTCTCTCTGTCACATTATGTAATTACACAGACAGGCAGGTGTGATACTTGTACACATGACATGTTATTATGTCTGTGGGTTGCAAACAAACTGCATCCATTTTTCTCGGATGACTGGATCGACGGAAACCGGTGCAAACTCAGATTGTCAGTTTCAAGTCCTGCTTTGTACTTGAACGAACGACAATTTCCAGCCACGCAGTAGTTCACCATCTCAGTATTTGTTGATTTGATTGAACACAAATGCAGAAAAAATGAGCATGTATTTACAAAACCCAACATCTCTGTATAAACACACAAGGAACCCTCAGCATATCGGCAAATGAACCAGCCAATGAAAGCCTTCGTTACACTTGAGTGCACACCCACCCGCACTGACTGGGTTCGGTCTCCCAGGTGCTTTGTTTCGAGGGAAGCAAACCCAAGTACCAAAAACTGCACTTTTGATTTGCGATTGTACACTTATAATTTTGTTTCTTTGTTTTTCCATAATCAGCAATGTATATCATATGTCATGAATAAGTGATAATTGTGTTTTAATTATGTTTGTTTTTTTGTTTGCATGTGACCTTTAACAGAAACTGACATAACACTAATGTTCCCTCAGTATAGGCAACCTATAACAGTATTGTGTAACCTGTCCTCATAAAGTCTGGTTACTTTTATTCTACATCTTCAGAACTGCCCATATATTCATTTTGCAATACAGAAATCATATACATGGTGCTTTCAATGCTTATACTGCTTGTCCTAAATGCTGAGCTACCTTGACATGAGACCGCCTCCGTGGTGTAGTGGTTTGAGCGTCCACCTGCAGAGCGGAAGGTCGCGGGTTCAATCCCCGACCGCCTCATACCAAAAGACGGTAAAATAGGGTACTTGTTGGTCCCTGCCTGGCTCTCGGCATAATGGGTACAACAAGAACTGGTCTGCTCGGAGTCAGTATAATGTGTCTGAGTGGGGTATTCATGCTTCACTGCGGCATGGTATCTCAGTGGGCTAGCACTATAAAACCAGCTTAAGTCTGGCCAAGTACAAGCAGCCGCACATACACACACACACGCATGCACGTCGTCATATGAGCGAAATATTCTCAAGCACGACGTTAAATCCAATTTCACCTCACCTCACCTTGACATGAGAATTTAGAAGATTCATGAATGGTTGACCAATTCTAAAGCTGACAGATTGTGATTTGGACAGAGAGAAGTTGAAAATTGAGGTATAAAAGTTGATTTAATTAAGACTAACCCAAGGTGAAGTTCTGGAATCTAATTCACAAACCTATTTATGAACAGAAAGAAGATTTTACCTGCATCCAGATAGCAGCACAATCCAACACAGGGCTGCAGCTTACTGACAGAGCCATAGAAACCAGCTTTGTCAGCAAAGTGTTGCTGGAGTTGTCTCCCCTACCCCGAAGATCAAATTGAAAATATGATATTTGCTCTTCGTTGGGGTTTCTTTGAAGCATGTACAAAGCATCTCTAACAACTGGAGTTCTTGTATAGCACTCAGTTTCTGAAATTAAAATATGTCGTTTGTTTGAAATTCTACTACAAATTTTGAGAATACTCCATTAAAGGTATCACGGTAATCCTAAATGGAAACAGCAGACTTGATGGCCACATCAGTGGGGTAGCTAATGTTCATAGTATGCCATAATATCTTCTACATAAAAATGAGTGGTGTGACTTCATAACTGCTATATATGATATCAAACTTTTCCATGTGCTTCATACTGGTCATTCTCTTCCCACAGAGGTTACTTGTCATGTCTTCCTACGAACCTCTGTTCTAATACGGCCCTTTCATGGTGTGAGTGTTCAGGATTCTTGATTGGTTGCAATCAGATTTAGTTGTGCAATCAGCGACGTTTCAAAAGTGATCATTTGCAAGGCCTCGGTTATTTCCGTATGCTTCGGGAAAACTAGAACCTCTTTCCCTGCGCGATGCGCAAACATTTCTTATAGACAAAACTCAGTCATGTAAATGGCGGATCAATGGCGTCTCCATCGCCCTCGTTGACAACGGACAAGCTAGCCATTAAATGTCTTGTGTGTCACATCAACACACGTTCCTGGCAGAGGAGGGATATTTGTGACCCAACATTTGCTTGTATTAGTCAAGTTGATGTAACACATGTTCTGATTGGACAGAAAGAAGGGAGATAATTCGTGTTGCGATTTTATGCCGCTAGGGGATTTTACGAGAACCGGGAAATATGACCGTATTAGAACAGAGGTCCGTAGGAAGAAATCACAAGTAACCTCTGTGGGAAGAGAATGCATACTGGCTTATGAAGCAGCTGTCCTTTACAGTTTCAGTGCCTGTCATATGAGTAAATAAATGGATGGTACAATGATAGAAAATTATATTTTGCATATACCATATTTTGTTCCGTTTGTGTTTGCAATATACTCAACTCACTTTGTTTGCCTGCATGGTGAAAAAACTGATGAATATTGAAACCAATAATTTAAATTACACAGCACCAATGTCTCACTTTGACACATGGTTCCCATTAACAGATCTTGTGACCGAGTGAGTGAATCTGTTCTAACACCACTCTGGACTGCATTCTAGTAACATCAGGAGGAAGAATGAAGTGATGCAGGTCTCCAACAATTACCATATTGGTGAAAACCCATAGGCACGGTATGGTGCCAAGACTGACAAACATGATCGGGGTGAACCGGGATAAAACAAATGATCACAAATCTCTAGCATAGCTAAGGGGCACAACTATACAGCAAATTGGTAGACCGTAGAAATGATTGGGCCTCCCATCACATCCCCGTAAACAATTTAGGTGTACCAATTGAGCATAGAAGCATTGCTCTGTAACACAATTACTCTGTGTCTCTTATCACAAAACCTACATCAAATGTTTATGGACTGCATGAAATATTAACCTTTTTCTTCTTCCTTGTCCTGAAGAGTATGTATTCACTGCAAACATCAGCAGCAAAGTTCTCGGCCCCACCCCCAAGGCCTGGTATAGCAGCTCCCTCCTGTGAGGAGAAGCATGTGGCGAGGTAGGACAGAGCTTCACGTGTACAGTCTGGAAACTCCAGGTACTTCAGCTTCTTCATTATTGTAGACATGTTGGAAGCACATCAAACTGAAAGACAAGGACTTGTGTCAGGTGGTGAGATGAAATGGGGTTTAATGTCGTACTTAAGAATATTTCGCTCATTTGACGATGTGCATGTGTGTGTAAGTGTGGTTGATTGTACTAGCCAAGACTTAAGATGGTTTAATAGTGCTAGCTCACTGAGATACAATGCCACAGTTAAGCATGAATACCCCACTCAGACACATTATACCGACTCTGAGTCAATCAGTCCTTGTTGTACCCATTAATACCAAGCACCAGGCAGGGACCAACAAGTATCCTATTTTAACTTCTTTTCGTATGACATGGCCAGGGATCAAACCCTCGACCTTCCGCTCTCCGGGTGGATGGTAGGACTCGTATAAAGTAAATGACAGGGTTTTAGATGTTAGCATGAGAGAGTTGAGTTTAATGCCCCCTGAGCTGATCAGTAACTGTTGTTGGTACATAAGTAGGTCTTAGAATTTTGGAGAAAAGTTGAAAACTTTATTAATCCTACACATTGTGATGTTCCCATTTCTGATCAAGACATTCTCTTTTGCAACAGTTCAGCTAGTCTACTAGCAATACACATTATCCTGTTGGCCCAAAAATATATTCATACTTCAAGTATAAAACAGAACGATATGATGGCAATGATGCTTTACTATTGAAGACTGAGGTTACGCAACCTGCTCAAGGTCTTGGCCGAGCAACCCGTTCAAGGAAGACTCCAGAGTACTATAAAGTCTATGTGTAATCACTCTACCTGGAACCTGACTGATATGTATTTTGCGCTGTCGCATTCCGTGTTATCGCATTTCATACTTAAGGAGGAGGGAATGTTATAATTTGTAATTCAATTCCGATCCTGCCTCCCAAATCCTTACCCACATGGCAATACCACTTTTTGTAAAATGTCAGATTATACCCTGACCCAGCCTGGAGATGTGCCTGTCACTGGAATACAGGATGGTAAACGTGAATGTTGTTTGTTGTTGTGTTGAAAATAGGCAGACAACTCAACAGTCATATACTCATAAGCAAGAGTTTTATGGATGTCAACTTCTACATTATGCAGAACACAACATATCGGAGTATATACTTACTCCTTCATCAGGTGAATACACAGTCAGTAACCAGTGTCCACAAATAGCGTCTGACCCTCGGACAATTCCGGCAAATTTGCCGACGGTCCGAAGGAAGTCTACAACCCGCTGGCCCCAGTGTCCGGCTGTATGTTTCACAATGACTTTTACTGAAGTAGTCACATTTGACATGTCACACTTGTTTGCTGTTTATAAACTTTACGCTTGTTAATAATTTCAATGCCAATTATATGAAATGTTAAATCTGAAATGTGTTTGATTTTTATTCTATGGGTCCTGTGAATTTTCAGTGGGTCAGACAGACATCTGAAACCTATAGGATCCAATGTCCTGTTACTTTGAAACACCATTCGTGAACACTGTCAGTAATAATATCGATACTTACATTAGCCATTATAACAATAATGACCTCATATGCCCTCTTAAAGCTCAAATACTACGATCAGACTGATCATGCTGATAACTTTACTTCACTTAAACTTCATAACGTACTTTTCATATAATAAACAACTTTACTAATAATCATATTTGTAATCTTGTTGATAGTTTTTGGTTTGTTTGTTTTCAACACCACACTCAGCAATATTCCAGCTATATGGCAGTGGCCTGTAAATAATCAAATCTGGACCAGACAATCCAGAGAACAAGAGCACGAACATCGATCTACTCAACTGGGATACGATGACGTCTAACCAAGTCTCACCACCCGATCCGTTAGTCGCCTCTTACGTCACGGGTCCTTGTTGATAGAATTCATTCCTTGACACTATAGAATTTAGATCTCCACTTCAAAGTGACGTGAATGCTTTAACAAAATGACAAAATGAACAAAAGAACCCGAAACAGTACATTAGTCTCGACTGGTACTCTGACTAAGTGAGTGTCTATGTAAATCGGACAATTATTGTTATAACAGTCACCGGCTATTTGGTCCTCTTCACTTCAAAAACTGATCAAACCATAGCCTTGACATATAGATGCAACTAAATTTCATCCCTGGTGCCTCTGGAAATGAGTTTCTTTAATCGAATAACTTTAACTGTTTGTTATTGAAACAGTGATATGTATTTAGTTTTCCAAAAATATAATCCCTCTCGTGCCTGCATGCGCTTCTTGTGAACTACGTCACTGTTTTCGAGCTGCCCCAGTCCCGGCGCACTGACGATATGGGAATCGCTTAACATGAACAACATTGCATGCGATGTTAGGAGTATGTTATGAACAGTGGACTTTTCGAATAAGTTCATAGTTTTTGTGTTACAGGTCCCTGCGTATCGAGATATTGTCGAAACGCTATTTTTATTATGTACATGTACATCTTTGATTTTCAACAAGCATTCTTTGATAATATCTCACTTATAAATGAGATTGTACGGAAGCCTATTTGGGCCACTGATATTTTTTTATTATCTTGAAAATTCAAGATATTCAGTTGAAAATTCATAAATGTCAATTTTGTAATTGACGACTTATAGACGGTGAGAGACGAACGCTGCTGGGTCAGATCGGGTCTCGCTTGACTGCTGCACGTGCAGGGGCTCTCGGGTGTTTCCGCCACGTTCCGAAGTACAGCCGAGTTAAACACAAAATAATCAGTTCAATCATTGGCGCATTTGTGTCGCCGCGCTCTGTGTTTTCCTGGCTTTGCTTTTCAGTTGATTCTTTTGCATTTTGCAACATGTTACCACCCCTACTAAAGATTTAAACAACACGTGTCTGCCACATGTCGGGAATAAATGTAATACATCAAATTGATAGTAAATTTTGAAACGTACGTGAGTGTCGTCGCAAATATTGTTCACACCTTAAAGGACACTCAGTTTGTAATTTTCATTTCGGATAACCCGGTAAACAGACTGTAGTATTTTGCAATGATAGACGTTTCATTTACCTATCAAAGAAACTGAACAGGACGTTAGATGACTTTACTGTCAAGTCTAAAGTGTCTGTCGCCAGTTTGTAATTTACAAAAAATTGTGTCAGCTTTCTTTAGTTTATTAAAGGATTTGGGGCACTGTTTAAGATATATGCGAGTATGGTACATCTGTTTTGAGATAGTCATGAGAAAGAGCTGTGAAAAGAAGTCTGACGGATCCCCAAAGTTTGCATGTTTCTACTGTGTCCCTGTTTGAACAAGGCCTGTCAAAAGCGTATGGTTAAGGATGTAATATTACGTGACTATTATGATATCAAAGTAAACGAAATATATCCAAATTTATCTTGCATGATAATTATAAACATTAACGGTCCCATCACGATATCAACATTTTTTGTTTAATGCTTAAAAAGTTTGAACAGATAATGGGAAATTGTTGATAGAAAGAAATGTACGTTACTGATATATACCAGTACAATCGGATCTTCTTATTCCGACGTTGTCCAGCTCAAGACGACTTTTGCACACGTCACTATTTTAATCCACCACGTGTCATAGAGTCCTGAGACGGCAGATCTACGAATTAAAATCTTAATTATCGCTCAAAATATGATTAAATGGTGATTGAAACTTTGGTATCAATATGTTTCTTTTCTCACAGAATGTAAGGGAAACCTAGAAATAATTTTGTTCATACAATCCATTCCCATAGGGTCAATTTACTTCTGTATCTTGGCTTTGGCTGATTGTGAACTATGGTTGACGAACTATGCACATATGTAAACAGATAGTGAAATGTACGTTACACTTGGTAACGTTCATTTCACCAGAGTATCCAGTTATTCATGGACATTACAGTTGACATCAATTTCATAATCTTTAATATTATTAAATTCTTATGACGTTTACTAGTATGAAGGATGGATCAAGCAGATATTTCCATGCATTTAATTATTTTACGTGTTGAATTCAAATGTAAAACAATTTTGCTAAAAGCTATTGATTTTTTAGGCTATTTTGGAAATCGCTTTCAATAGCTACTGATACCTGCATAATCGTACATGTTGTTGGCGTAAGTGTTTGCATGTAGCATATAAATGTATCTCCAGATACCCAGAGAGTATTTCGGGTAAAACATGAGAATACGTAAGATGGTAGCGTACATTTCAAATGTTCTTCAAGTAGATGGAGAGGATAATGAAGCGGAAATATCCTTTTTGGAAAAATGAGTTAGTGAGTGAGTCGGGTTTTACGCCGCTTTTAGCAATATTCCAGCATTATCACGTCGGGGGACACCAGAAATGGGCTCCACACGTTGTACTCATGTAGGGAATTGAACCATGGCCTTCGGCGTGACGAGGGAACGCTTTAACCACTGAGCTACCCAACCGCCTATTTTTGGAGAAGAAAAAGCAGTTTTTTTTTTTACTACCCTAAATGTGATAATGAGATATGGGTTCCAGTTTCTGATGTGTTGAGTAAGATAGGTGAACCTGTTCCTGTAGGCAAATCTCGAAGAATGCTGAAACTGGATGCTGATGAGAAGCACAGAGTGTTAGATGTATTTGCTGTTAGAGATTTCAATTAATCGAAAGTGTGTTTGTTTGTTTCTCACTCAAACCTTACTGATTGTATGGAGGATTATAATTCACAGAGCCATAGTCCGATAGTAAAATGTGCGCTACGAATGAGAGTCACGGCAGTATGATTTAGTATCAAACTAGGATGTGAGAGATGATTTTACCGATTTGAAAATAAAGGTTGCTTAAAACGATTTATGTCATTTGTACCTCTTCTTAATTTGTTCTGTCTGTTGAAGGGATAATAAATCTACATACATAAACACTACCGTTTGACAAATCCACTGTGCAGGATAAAAGCAATTAATCAATCATTGTGTTATCGGTTAATCCTTTGATCGATGTTTGTTTTGTAACTCGGCTGATAATTCCTCTTACTGCACTTCCATGCGCATTTTACACAAGATGTAATACATTTGCCACATCAGACCCCAATTTATAATGATGAGTATTTACTCCAGACACAAGAAATGCCAAATAGGACCCTTTGTCGGGTAATCTGAGTTGTTTTATCACTAATTATACCTGTTATAAATTCATTAACTGACCATCAAGTGAATGATGACAAATAACGCGTAGGTTTACCACCAAACAAGGGTTACAGAAAGGGAGTAGTAATCGCTGTATTGCATGCAATTTTGATTGCCTGACAAAAAAATATAGGCCGACACTGTTTTGAGTATCCGAACGGAACTGCACTGCTGCGTAAGAAATACATATACGCATTTGCTTAAGTAGATTTTCAGATTTTTCTAGCAATGGCAAGGTGGGGTTGTTTAGTTTACGGATTCAAATACATCAAATGTGTGTTTTTAATATATTAGCATAGATAATAAACATCATATATTTACAGGACATGATTGAATATCGAGGTAAAACACACAGAATTAGAATCAACTTGGATCAGTCACTATACCATCCAGGCATTAGAAAATCTGAAAATGTTTACACTGCTGGGATTCTTTATTACAGTCAGACAAGAACTACCAGGGATATTTTCTAATAACGGGCATCCACCCTTACTAATGTTTAGGTTGAAGAAATTCTGCCAAGGTGGACAGTAGCCCAGTCCCCGTGTCCGTCACGGTCGAGTGAGCAGGTACCGACCAGCCTGCAGCTTGGTTTCGAAATTAGACTGTTGGCGAGAAACATTAATCGCTCTGGATCAGTGGCCCTTTAATACTCTTTCTCCATTAATACACGAGAGACATACAGTTGATAAGGCGACATATCAGACTAAAGCAAATCGAGATTCGTTACTAAACGTTTAAATCATCACTGTATACTGTATACTACTACTACTACTACTACTACTACTACTACTATATATATATATATATATATATATATATATATATATATATATATATATACGCACAAAATGTCCAAAATAGTACAAGTGTTCAGTCATAAATATTACATAGATAAATAAAACAGAATGCCTTTTTCTCCAACATGTTTCGTTCTTTACTCTTCAGGGAGTTACATTGTAAAATATCTCCTGAAGAGTAAAGAACGAAACATGTTGGAGAAAAAGGCATTCTGTTTTTATTTATTTATATATATATATATTAAGCAGCAAAAGAAACGCTTTCCTTCGCAGAAACGGATAACTGTATACTCATTTAATGTTTTGATTGTATATTTTTGACAACATCTCCAACTTTACCTGAGCAAAGACATTCCTTCCCAAACTC